CCACAACTTACATAACAACACAATGAAGGAATGATAAATTGCTCCACAGCTTACATAACGAAATAATGAAGGAATGATAAATCGCTCCACAACTTACATATCAACCTAATGAAGGAATGATAAAACGCTCCAAAGCTTGCATAGCAACATAATGAAGGAATGATAAATCGCCCCACATCTTGAATAACAACACAATGAAGGAATGGTAAATTGCTCCACAGCTTACATAACGAAATAATGAAGGAATGATAAATCGCTCCACAGCTTGCATAGCAACACGACGAAGGAATGATAAATCGCTCCACAGCTTGCATAACAACATAATGAAGGAATGATGAATCGCTCCACAGCTTACATAACATAATGAAGGAATGATAAATCGCTCCACAGCTTACATAACGACATAATGAAGGAATGATAAATCGCTCCACAACTTACATAACAACATATTGAAGGAATGATAAATCGCTCCACAACTTACATAACAACATATTGAAGGAATGATAAATCGCTCCACAACTTACATAACAACACAATGAAGGAATGATAAATTACTCCACAGCTTACATAACGACATAATGAAGGAATGATAAATCGCTCCACAGCTTGCATAGCAACACAACGAAGGAATGATAAATCGCTCCACAGCCTGCATAACAACATAATGAAGGAATGATGAATCGCTCCACAGCTTACATAACAACATAATGAAGGAATGATAAATCGCTCCACAACTTACATAACAACATAATAAAGGAATGATAAATCGCTCCACTGCTTACATAACAACACAATGAAGGAATGATAAATCGCTCCACAGCTTACATAACGACATAATGAAGGAATGATAAATCGCTCCACAGCTTGCATAGCAACACAACGAAGGAATGATAAATCGCTCCACAGCCTGCATAACAACATAATGAAGGAATGATAAATTGCTCCACAGCTTACATAACGACATAATGAAGGAATGATAAATCGCTCCACAACTTACATATCAACATAATGAAGGAATGATAAAACGCTCCAAAGCTTGCATAGCAACATAATGAAGGAATGATAAATCGCCCCACATCTTGAATAACAACACAACGAAGGAATGGTAAATTGCTCCACAGCTTACATAACGAAATAATGAAGGAATGATAAATCGCTCCACAGCTTGCATAGCAACACGACGAAGGAATGATAAATCGCTCCACAGCTTGCATAACAACATAATGAAGGAATGATGAATCGCTCCACAGCTTACATAACATAATGAAGGAATGATAAATCGCTCCACAACTTACATAACAACATATTGAAGGAATGATAAATTGCTCCACAGCTTACATAACGACATAATGAAGGAATGATAAATCGCTCCACAGCTTGCATAGCAACGCAACGAAGGAATGATAAATCGCTCCACAGCCTGCATAACAACATAATGAAGGAATGATGAATCGCTCCACAGCTTACATAACAACATAATGAAGGAATAATAAATCGCTCCACAACTTACATAACAACATAATAAAGGAATGATAAATCGCTCCACTGCTTACATAACAACACAATGAAGGAATGATAAATCGCTCCACTGCTTACATAACGACATAATGAAGGAATGATAAATCGTTCCACAGCTTGCATAGCAACACAACGAAGGAATGATAAATCGCTCCAGAGCATGCATAACAACATAATGAAGGAATGATAAATTGCTCCACAGCTTACATAACGACATAATGAAGGAATGATAAATCGCTCCACAACTTACATATCAACATAATGAAGGAATGATAAAACGCTCCACAGCTTGCATAGCAACATAATGAAGGAATGATAAATCGCCCCACATCTTGAATAACAACACAACGAAGGAATGGTAAATTGCTCCACAGCTTACATAACGAAATAATGAAGGAATGATAAATCGCTCCACAGCTTGCATAGCAACACGACGAAGGAATGATAAATCGCTCCACAGCTTGCATAACAACATAATGAAGGAATGATGAATCGCTCCACAGCTTACATAACATAATGAAGGAATGATAAATCGCTCCACAGCTTACATAACGACATAATGAAGGAATGATAAATCGCTCCACAACTTACATAACAACATATTGAAGGAATGATAAATCGCTCCACAACTTACATAACAACATATTGAAGGAATGATAAATTGCTCCACAGCTTACATAACGACATAATGAAGGAATGATAAATCGCTCCACAACTTACATATCAACATAATGAAGGAATGATAAAACGCTCCAAAGCTTGCATAGCAACATAATGAAGGAATGATAAATCGCCCCACATCTTGAATAACAACACAACGAAGGAATGGTAAATTGCTCCACAGCTTACATAACGAAATAATGAAGGAATGATAAATCGCTCCACAGCTTGCATAGCAACACGACGAAGGAATGATAAATCGCTCCACAGCTTGCATAACAACATAATGAAGGAATGATGAATCGCTCCACAGCTTACATAACATAATGAAGGAATGATAAATCGCTCCACAGCTTACATAACGACATAATGAAGGAATGATAAATCGCTCCACAACTTACATAACAACATAATGAAGGAATGATAAATCGCTCCACAACTTACATAACAACATATTGAAGGAATGATAAATTGCTCCACAGCTTACATAACGACATAATGAAGGAATGATAAATCGCTCCACAGCTTGCATAGCAACACAACGAAGGAATGATAAATCGCTCCACAGCCTGCATAACAACATAATGAAGGAATGATGAATCGCTCCACAGCTTACATAACAACATAATGAAGGAATAATAAATCGCTCCACAACTTACATAACAACATAATAAAGGAATGATAAATCGCTCCACTGCTTACATAACAACACAATGAAGGAATGATAAATCGCTCCACAGCTTACATAACGACATAATGAAGGAATGATAAATCGTTCCACAGCTTGCATAGCAACACAACGAAGGAATGATAAATCGCTCCAGAGCATGCATAACAACATAATGAAGGAATGATAAATTGCTCCACAGCTTACATAACGACATAATGAAGGAATGATAAATCGCTCCACAACTTACATATCAACATAATGAAGGAATGATAAAACGCTCCACAGCTTGCATAGCAACATAATGAAGGAATGATAAATCGCCCCACATCTTGAATAACAACACAACGAAGGAATGATAAATTGCTCCACAGCTTACATAACGAAATAATGAAGGAATGATAAATCGCTCCACAGCTTGCATAGCAACACGACGAAGGAATGATAAATCGCTCCACAGCTTGCATAACAACATAATGAAGGAATGATGAATCGCTCCACAGCTTACATAACATAATGAAGGAATGATAAATCGCTCCACAGCTTACATAACGACATAATGAAGGATGATAAATCGCTCCACAACTTACATAACAACATATTGAAGGAATGATAAATCGCTCCACAACTTACATAACAACATATTGAAGGAATGATAAATTGCTCCACAGCTTACATAACGACATAATGAAGGAATGATAAATCGCTCCACAGCTTGCATAACAACATAGCTAAAGGAATGATAAATCGCTCCACAGCCTGCATAACAACACAATGAAGGAATGATAAATCGCTCCACAGCTTGCATAATAACATAATGAAGGAAGGATAAATTGCTCCACAGCTTACATGACAACACAATGAAGGAATGATAAATCGCTCCACTGCTTACATAACAACACAATGAAGGAATGATAAATCGCTCCACAGCTTACATAACGACATAATGAAGGAATGATAAATCGCTCCACAGCTTGCATAGCAACACAACGAAGGAATGATAAATCGCTCCACAGCCTGCATAACAACATAATGAAGGAATGATAAATTGCTCCACAGCTTACATAACGACATAATGAAGGAATGATAAATCGCTCCACAACTTACATATCAACATAATGAAGGAATGATAAAACGCTCCACAGCTTGCATAGCAACATAATGAAGGAATGATAAATCGCCCCACATCTTGAATAACAACACAACGAAGGAATGATAAATCGCTCCACAGCTTACATAACAACATAATGAAGGAATAATAAATCGCACCACAGCTTACATAACAACACAATGAAGGAATGATAAATCGCTCCACAGCTTGCATAATAACATAATGAAGGAAGGATAAATTGCTCCACAGCTTACATGACAACACAATGAAGGAATGATAAATCGCTCCACAGCTTGCATATACATGAAATGTAATTATATCTGAAGGTGGAACCTGGTACAAAAGTAAGCTATGGTGGTGTCAGTTTAACAACATATGTTACGCTCGATTATTTAGGTCAATCATAACCTCGTATCAAGTAATCGTGCTATGCTTGTTGAATATAGAGACGGTACTCTTTAAGGATGGGTAACAATATATGGATGAACCACGTCTTATTACAGTGAGAGCAATAACGTTTTTGTTACAGTGTTCATCCATATATTGTTATCCATTCTTAGTGCTCCAACTTCTAAATGCCGCTCATACAAATTAAGGTACTGTTTGTTTTCCATTGCATTAACACAGAATCCCACATACTTGAGCTTACAAAAAAGTGACACCATCGTTTCAATTTCCAGCAAAACACGTTAAATGGAATATGCAGTGCGTGTTGTAATGAAGGCTGCCATAATGCAGTGCCAATCTAATGTGGTACAACCAGAAAGCAATGGAAGCAAAATAATTCCGACGTAAAAAAATCGAGAAATGTGACTATCAACAATTAAAGATGTATGAAAATGTGGATGCCAGGAGCCCGTTAGTATTGATATGGTAACTGTGTGGTCAGGTATTGGACATCATATCTCAATGAATTCCAGGAATTCCGGACTCAGGAATTCAATTGTTATTTATAAATTACAGTGAAACACATTAATCCTCAAGAAACATTTTAAACGTGTTATATTTTATCTTTGGTTTTCAAAAACTGAAAAACTGAACAACCAACAGAAGATACTTTATTCAGCGAAACATTATTACATATTTATTAGACATACGTGTCTTAAATTCATTTGGTTTTAGGGCCGAAGGTACATAGAGAACTACATGTAATATATTTCATCTATATTTTGCCAGTTTTATATAATTGGCTGTATTTGGAAATTATATCTTTTCAGTTGCATCCTCCAGTGTATTGGTCGAGCTTCTGGATTCGAAGGATTTCAAAACTGAAGGTATCAGGTGCATGCAACGTTTCTTCTATAGCTTCCATTGCCTTTTGGCCAACTGGAGCGAAGTGCGTCAGCTGAAATGGTCGCAGAGAATGAAGTCACTTAAGAATGTTCATAAGAACGATATCCATCATGGTATCTTCAAAAACACAATAGCGAGGTAATTTGGTGTAACGCACCTTTTTACAACACTTTAAAATGTTAATTACATGCCAGCATATGTTGACACCTTGTTTAAAAACCAACGAGCGCAGGAATGGTATTCACTAAATAGGAAACTGTATTGCACTTACCCTACACACTGTACCAAAATGTTGGACAGACTGTACTCACGTACAGTCAGCTCTCGTTAATCCGACACTCATTAATCCGACAATCACGTTAATCCGACAAAAAATTAGGGAACCATGATTATTTCTGTGAATATTTTTACATACGATGAAGATAACTAGATCTACCATTTCTGATATGCATGCAACAGTATGACGATCATGACATTTAGTAAACATTGATATTTTCACACAAATACATTAATCCGACATTTTCATTAATCCGACATTTTCGTTAATCCGACATATTTCTCTGCAACCACAAGTGTCGGATTAACGAGAGTTGACTGTAATTGTGTTTGGGGGGATTGTATTACTCTTTCAAAGAGCTTTGTTCCAAGATAATATTGACAAAATACAGTCTCTACAAATGTTTGTAAGCGATCGCAATGTAAGCATTACACACTTGGAATTATTTAACCCTTACAGGAAATTCTCAGGTGTATATGGAATTCTGGTATCATAATGTACCATGAGTGCTATTGAACAATCACAATGTGCTGGCGCATCCATAGTGTACAACTTACATTGCTCTAGTATACGAGACGTTACACGTTTTGGGTTATTTGCAGATCCAAGAAGTGGTAGAATTCAACAATTAAATGAAAAGACGGTAACTTAAACAATGAACTCACCGTGAGTGAGTGAGTAAGTAAAGTGAAATGTATTTTACTCAACTTTGATTCCCTTCATAGAACGGCATGTACATTGGATGTGGGAGGAACGATGATGATGGGGAACTTAGACACTCAGAAACAAACCTAGAAACATAAGAATGGGAGTAATGAACTGTGCAAGGTTTACCTCAACTGGAAGACTTGCTAGAGTTCTGAAACATACCGCCCGTTGACCTGCGTTCAGAATTCCCATGTCTCTCACGAACATTTGTCTCAGCTTCTCGTAATACTGAGCTGTTGTCAAACCTGAAATATATATTTGAACGAAAAGTGTTTGATCAGATATATAATACCTTTGACTGTAGTGTGTACCTTCTACTGTCAACCGCATCATAGAGAAATTATTATGTCAATCTTAGTATGTTACATCAAGGTAGAAGTATCGCTTGAGAAGCAATTAAGAAACGATGAGCAGGTGCTATGGTATATTTCTGGCAGGAGGAATTTCAGTTCTTTGGTGCATTTAGACTACAGTCCTTGTCACGATTGCCGTGTTTACTCGAACCCCATATCAACATCTTGGGATATGTCTACCGTCCGGGTATTACATCATGCTGTAGGAGCATTTAGTGATGTTCCAATCATAGATGTAAAACTGAACACACAAAAACTCTGCCTGGCATACCTTTCACAGGAAATATCTGTTTGCCCAGAAGTATGTCCTCATCATCCGCGAGAGACGTATCATAAAAGTCTCTGGTCATGTTCATACCAAGTTCCCGGGCGAAGTCACTGCAGTAATACACTGGGGTCACCTTGACCTCATAGCCCTTGCGTGCCAGGAAGCTCGTCAACTGTGGCCAGCTGCACGCTTTGTCAACCCGTAGAACTGCAAGATAAATATTGTTTCTTGTCAAGCAACATGTACTTTCTTACTGAGCTTTATGGTCCTACTCTGAAAAGCCGTGAAAACTTATGTCTCATTTAAACAACCAGAAGTTTAGGCATTAAGTCACACTTTACTCAATTTCCTTTTTTTCAGTCACCTTGTTTTGTAATGTGGTAACATATTGTATTAAGCGAATATATGTTAAGCAACAATTAGATGAATGTCTAGTTTGTTAGACAGAACAAAGCAGAACTGGTTTCGTATTTGAACTTACCAAGAATTACCATTGAATTCCCGATTTCCTGTTAAAGAAACATTAATTCGTTAGTGCCTGAAAGGCCATGGGCAAAGATCCATGAAGATCTGCTGAAACAAATAGCATGGTCACACTAATATTGGTGGTTGAAATCACCACCCGTGTTACGTAACAACTTGCTCGTCAGAACTGCATTACAAGAACTACGTCGCATGTTGAAATGTCTGCTCAGGGCCATGTAGATGCATGAATGGCAGAAGGACTGGCATCAAAAGTTGGTCCCGACACTGTTTGGCGGTGAGATTTCCCTGGATGATTTGGCGGCAATCTAAATCAATTGTTGGCAGGCATTGCTCTTAAAACCATTGTCCTGAACCCTCCAAATCTGTCCAACACAAATTTCTGATTGACGTTCCCACCTATTCTGCCACACCCATACCTTGACACTGACATAACGCAATGGGAAACGAGACTCATCACTAACGAATGCTTGAGCGTCCTAGGAAGCTGCATCATGATAGGTCGTGTATCTCGGATACCTGCGGTGCCTAGTCCATTCCCCAAGGCCTGTGTTGACACATGTTGCAGATGTGTCCTCAAACCATGTATTTCTGTCCCAACTACAGCCCAGGTCTCGAGCAACTGCTTCCACAGATTGTTCAGCTTTAAGAAGCACAACCACCCAAGCTTACGCTGTTGATTTGTGACTCGCAACATATTCGCGTTTTGATTAAATTTGGAATTCAATGCATTTTACTGTTTAGCAGTCTCTGATTGGTGCTTCTATTACAATGCAGCTTTTCACTTGTTTCACGATTTTTTACCAACTGTGTCACGTCGGACGCCCTAACCATGCTCAAACAGCCTTCTTGCCACTGGTGTGTGCATGGCACAAGCAACTAAAATGAATCACGCTCCTCGCAATCATCGCCAATATTGTCTGTGTCTAGTTTCTAATTTTGTTAAGTATACAAACAAATGAGGATCAAGGATTAAAAGCATCAGAGCAGGATCACTTTCAGCTACCCGTGAAGATCCGAGTTAAAATTCGTCTTCGGGAGCCCGTGCTTGTCATAAGAGGCGACTAGCGGGATTGGGTTGTTAGGCTCGCCGACTTGGCTGACATTTGGCTCTACCCCATTGCGTAGATCAATGCTAACGCTGTTATTACAGGGCTGTCCGGCCCAGACTCGAATATTTACAGACCGCCCCCATATAGCTGGGATATTGCTCACTGTGGTATTAAACAAAAGAAACAAATATCATTAAGTCTTCGCAGCGATTCATTGATGCAATGCCTTCACTTACCTTAAATGAAAACAGAACCTTGATGTCACTTAGCCCCGCCACTGTTGTTTTAATCTTCAGTATGTCGGCCTTCTCGTCCCTCCCTTCCTTCGGTGGAAGGGTGATGTCCACTCTGTACATACGGGCATCTCTATCTTCAGGCGCGCAGAGCACCGACAGGGGAGACACCGACAACAGAGAAAGGGACTAATCCTTCCACACAGAGAAAGGGACTAATCCTTGCACTTTTGGCTGCAAAAAGAATATCTTCGTGTTAGCGTATACGTTTTAGAACATTGTGAAAATTATGCTGAAATCTGTGTTTCAGAACATTATGCTTTAAATTTGTGGGGGAACCGTTAATACGTAAGAAGCGAACTTAAATTCATTTGGCAGTAAGAGTATTGTGCCTTGGGTGTTATCCAACCTAAAGGCGATTTACAGCTGGTACACTGCTAGGCATTTCAGAGCTTTTGCTTATTAATATTGTGTGATTTGATTTCAGGTTTCCAGGGAAACATAAACTGCATGTCGGCCTTTGATTAAATATCGTCGTCAAGGAAAGACTTCCAGGTATCATAAAACAATATCAACATCCTGGCAGGAGAAGAAAATCACCCACCATTAATCACACCAAGAGGCATATTCATATATATTTGTAATGCTTAAAATATTGATCAACATAATACTGTTCTTTATCTAGTTTGTAACGACAAGGATCCCATATGTTAAGTAAAATTATCTCCCATGAATTACATCAAGGGGTATGTTTAATATTACATAGAAAATATATCTATTCAATATTCGAAATGTTACCTTTTCAACAGTGGTGATGCTCAACACTGGCTGCTGACGATTGTATGTGGGTTCACTGGCGCGAAATATATACACGTCTTTCTAATCAAAGTTCCCACTGCGCATGACAGCATAATGGCGGAGGACAAATGAACACCCGTTCACCTATATTCTATGCATATATGAATATTTATGAGATACATTTGCAATGCAGAGCCATTAGTAGGGTGCAATGCAGGGTTATTTCCATGTAAATTGCATCGATCTAAACTATGGCATGCACTTATTGCACTCCTGATGGAAAGTTGAGACTCTGCACTACGTAGCGTTGACATGCTGAACCCTAATGCAGTATCTACGTCCCAGAGTGAACATGTACATCACGTAGTGCACGTAGTTACGTATCGTCACTAAGCTGGATACACAGAACAAAGTTCATAGCCTGCAATATACACCTTCTCTTCTCCATGTTGATAAGATAAGAGAGGCTTTCTTGTGCAAAGGAACATTCATATCACACAGTTGATAAGCATCAATATCTTATGAATAACAGCTTCTTTATTTGTGTGCCCCGACGTTTCTGGGCGAGTTCTTGCCCCTCTCTTCATCCACTTGAAGAAGGTTCTTCATCCACTTGAAGAAGGGGCAAGAACTAGTCCATGGACGTCGTGGTAAACAAACAAAGAAATTGTTATCCATAAGATACCCATTAATGCCGAGCGCAGGGAACAAGTACCATATTTTCTGGTATGACGCAGCAGGGGATCGAACCAGCGACCTTCTGTTCTCCAGGCGGACTCTCTAGGCACTACCTCAAGGAGAAGATAATTCGAAGGGAGACGGGAAGCCAGTGCAAGGTTTTGATTAGGAGGAGTGATGTGTGTTCTGTTCTTGTAATTATTTAGTTGCATCAAGCTGCAGGGTTCTCAACTCCATGTAACCTGCCTACAATAATTCTCAAATTTACCATGTGAGGAAATAAACGTATCATCCGAGGCCCATATGACCGACGTTTGAAATGTATGTAACATTACGTCATGAAATATAGAAATGAGCATATATGACAAAGGTGTGTAAATATGACAAAGATGTGTTAATATGACAAAGATGTGTAAATGTGACAAAGGTGTGTAAATATGGCCACCATTTTCACATAGTTATAAAGCTGACAATAATTGTAAATGCTTTTCACTAATGACACATGTTTTCGTACCCTTGAAAGCATGTATGACCAGATTCAGATTTATCATTTCTTTCATAATCTCATAAATGATATTGATATTAGGTAAATTTTATTCAAGAGTTCGGTAATATAAATGCATATGGTGGCCCACTTGAATACGAGCATTTTCCTGTGCACGCTGAGTACTTGGTAACCGAGACTTCATCGACGCACTGCACTGAACTGACATCAGGTATCAACTTAACTGATGCATACAGAGAGTAAAGTGATATATGTATCTCCAATAAAATAACGATAAAGATCTTTGACATGACTAAATATGTTTAATATGTTGGTGCATTCCCCAGTACATTTCTGTTAGTGGGGGATGTGTTAGGAACCATATCTTAAATAATCTGATGATGATTGTATGTAGCATATAAGCCAGCATGATTGTTTTGAGGAAATGAGACATATGTTTCAGTGAACATACAAATAACCATTGTGTGTGTTCTGTGTTCATGATATAGTGAGAATTTTACAATCGACTCTGCTTTTAGTAGTAACTTCTTATGGATGTGGAAGGGTTTTGTCGCTTCTATGTCTTGTGATATCAGATGGAACTGCATGTATTACCAATTCTACCATGGCAACGTGAAATACGCTTATCTCCTAATTTATTACATTTCCTTATGAGTGAATTTGAGAGCTGTGCCTCGCCATAAGGATATCTCAAGTCATGTTTCAATCTTTTTTTTTCAGCTAGATCAAAATTAGTGGGTTGCAATTGTCTATCCCCGTTTCGCTTTTGAACTCAGATGGGATCCTATTTAAAACATTATTCGAATGTATTAAGTCCTGCTAACTATGGTTCGTAAGTAGTTTTGCTCTTTTCCAATATTGTTCAAGGTCACATGGCATGGAAATTGATATTCGAGTTGATTCTTGCTTCACTCATCATAGACATGCTTCATTTTCTTTGTATCCTCAATCACAAGTATAATAGCTGTGAAATGTCCACTGTGGGCAGTGGGATTCAGACATGGCATCTATCGTGTACCCAAAGGAAACCACTACGCCATGGATTTCAGGAACTGATGTTACGAAAATGAAAGTCAAAACGGTATGACTTGTTTCCTTCACAAAATACGAACTGCAGCCAACGACACTGGGATCCTAGGCAATGTATCATTTGGTAATTCATAAGTGTGAATTACAAATATATGATACTGATCTATATCATTATTACAGCTTTTTTTGCAATATAATGTCATCTCTGTGTTTACAATCGAGATTTTCCAATCCCTGGAAGATGTCTATTTGGGTTTGTGCATAAAAATGACCGAATCATCCAATTACAAACACACAAGCGCACACACAGCGATGTGTACGTGGCTAAGCAACTCCAGTAATCACGCGACCATTTCACCACCCCTCAGCTCGAACAGTGTTATGGAATATTGTCAATGTATTTGGTATATCAGCAAAGTGATCTCTGCAGCCGGTGCGAGAACGTTATATTATAGCTTCTCACTTTAGCTTGTTCATGGTTAGTTTATCATTTAAGGAGTGAGTGAGTTAATATTTATCGTCACATCGGAAATATTTCAGCCAGATCGTGACGAGGACAATTAATGATTATATCATATATCAGTAAAATTAGAAATTAAAATTAAAACCTGTTGACGAGAGAAAAGTAAAACTACTAGTGTATCACAGAAACTAGTGATGAAATCTAAAACATGTTAGCTAGAAATGACAAGACAATGTAAAAACAGGCTAAAGATTGCCAACAACTGTAGGTAGATCACCATATTAGGGACCATGGGGACTTACAGTACATTTGCGTCCTGCATGGACCCTAGCTGGATTTACACCATCCCTGAGCCGTTAGCAGTTTAGACACATTTAGCCATACATTACAAAACCCCACATATCCTACGATTAAAAAGGTTGGATAGATTTAAATTGACTTTGAATGTTTTAGGACTTACGTACCCTCTCAGGAGGACAATAATTTTACAATACTTCAACCCCTTTTGAGGGAACAGCCACTAACAATCTCAGTTACTAGTCCAAATTACCAATAATGAAATATGTATCTATTTACAAATCATTTAACAAATCTAATCGTCCTTGTTTTCACTCCACGGTGGGTGGGGAGAGGGGATGCCGAACCACATTACCTACGACATGGCTTCCCAATACCCCGGTTCAAAACGAAGACACATGGATTCTGACAACTCCTCGTCTGACGAGAGTACGCCCTTCCGACCTGACTACTGGCCACGCTTCCTGATCATTGAAGCTTGTGACAAGCAACCTCTGCAACTGAACCCATTTGCAATCTCCAAAGGTATCGCTGGTATCTGCGGAGAGGTTGCCAATGTTACAAAGCTCTGATCTGGTTCTTTCCTGATAGAATGTACTCGGAAACAACAATCCTTGAATCTCCTCAAAATACAAGAATTTGTCAACATCAAGGTCGCTGTCTCAGCGCACAAAACACTTAACTCGTGTAGAGGCATTGTACGGGACAGAGCTCGATGCCTGTCTGACATGACTGAAGAACAAATTGTCGAGGAACTCTCTCAGCAGTCCGTCACAGCCGTAAAACGATTCACTTTCAAAAAGGACGGTGTTGTTCAACCAACAAACACCTATCTCTTTACGTTCGCGCGAGCAAAGATTCGAGCTGGTTATTGTAGCATTGGTGTGGAGGTGTATGTCCCCAATCCAGTCCGGTGCTACAACTGCCAAAAGTTTGGACATGGATCCAAGTCCTGTCGTTCCTCTGCTGTTTGTTACGGCTGTGGTGACAAGCATGAGGGCAATGACTGTACTAAGGAAGTGAAGTGCACAAACTGCGGTGGTAACCATATGGCCTCTTCCAAGTTTTGTCCAGTATGGCAACGCGAATCCGAGATCCTAAAGATCAAGCACAAAGAAAATATCTCCTTTCATGAAGCTAAGAAGAGGGTTGCAAGTTTAACTGCAGCCCCTTCAACCATCACTTACTCTTCTGCTGTCTCCCGTCCTTCTATCACTCCTGCAACTATCTCATGTCAGACCGACCTAACATGGGTCATGTCTTCTCAGCCAACTGAACTCAACACAACTCAACCCATCTCAGCCACTCCATCTCCAACGCCAAAAGTCAAAACTTCTGAATCACAAACACCAG